ATGGTCTAGGAGGGGGTCACCATGGAGACTATGGATGTGCAACTCCAGGTTTAGTCTCTGGGAGGTGGGGCTACCCTGGACTGTGGATATGTGATCCTAGTTGCTCGGTCTGGCAGGTAGAGTCGCCCTGGATACTGGACGTGTGACCCCAGGTACAGTATCTGCAGAAGGGTGTCACCCTCAACACTGTGGAAATGTGACCCCAGGTCCAGGGTCAAAAGGAAGTCACCCTGGATACTATGGACATATGACCCCAGGTGCAGGGTCTGTGAAGTGGGGTCTCCCTGGAGACTGTGTAAGGGTTCGGGAGGTGGGCTCATTCTGGGGACTGTGGATGTGGGACCCTAAGTGCAGTGCCTGGGGAAGAGGCTGACCCTGGAGACTGTGGACTTGTGACAATATGTATGTAGTTTGGGAGGGGGCAACTCTGGAGACTATGTACTTATGACCCCAGGTGTAGGTTTGGGAGGGGTGTCACCTTGAGACTGTGGATGTGAGAACCCAGGTGCAGGGTCTGAGAGCTGGGGTAACCCTGAAGACTGTGACATATGACCCCAGCTACATGTTCTGGGAGGTGGGGTCCACCCTGTAGACTGTGGACATGTTACCCCAGGTCACAGTCTCCAGAGTGACCCCTCACAGAAACTGTTCCTGGGGTCACATGTCCACATTCCCCAGGTGAACCCACATCCCAGACCCTATACCTGAGGTCATACATCCACATTTTCCAGGGTGATCCCCCTCCCAGACCCCGCACCTGGGGTAACATGTCCACAGTCTAAATGGTGGAACCCAGCTCTGCAGATGCAGCACTTGAGGTCACACTTCCATACTCCTCAGAGTTACCCAAGTTCACAGACCCTGTTCCTGGGGTCACATGTCTACAGTCTCCAGAGCGACTCCCCTGCCAAACCTGCACTTGGGGTCACACTTCCACAGTCTCTAGGGCGACACCACTCTGCACACCCTGTACCTGGGTTCACACATCCACTGGGAGGGCAATCACCCTGGAGACTGGATGTATGACCTTAGGTACAGGGTCTGGGTTCACCTCGGGAATGTGGACATGTGACCCCAGGAGCAAGGTCTGGAGGGGTTCACACTGGAGCCTGTGGACATGTTACTGCAGGTGTAAGGTCTGGGAGGGGGGTCACTCTGGAGACTGTGGACGTGTGACACCAGATACAGGGTCTGGGAGGGTTATCACCCTGGTGACTGTGGATATGTGACCATAGGTTTAGGGTCTGTGAGGGGTTCATCCTTGCAACTGAGGACATGTGACTCCAGATGTATTGTATGGGAAGGGGGATACACTGGAAACTGAAAATGTGGCCCCAGGTACAGGGTCTGGGAGGGGTGTCATGCAGGAGACTGTGGACATGTGACCCCATGTGCAGGTTCAGCGAAGGTGTAGCCCTGGAGCCTGTGGACATTTGACCACAGGTACAGGGTCTGAGAGGGAGGTCACCCTGGAGATTGTGGACATGTGAGTCCAGGTGTAGGGTCTGGTAAGTGAGGTCACCCTGGAGACTGTGGATGTATGACCCCATTTGCAGGGTCTGGGGAGATAGCTCTCCCTGGAGACTATGGACATTTGAACCTATGTACAGGGTCTGGGGAGAGGAGTCACCCTGGAGACTATTGACATGTGACCCTACATGCAGGATTTGGTGATGTGGGCTCACCCTGCCGACTGTGACCCCAGGTACAGGGTCTGGAGAGGGCTGTCAGCCTGGAGACTCTGGACATGTTACCCCAGGTGCAGGTTCTGGAAGGGGTCACCCTGGAGATTCTGGATATGTGATTCCAGGTATAAGGTCCGGGGATGTGTGTCACCCTATAGACTGTGGAAATGTGACCCCAGGTGCAGTTTCAGGAAGAGGTCACCTGGAGACTGTGAATGTGTGAGAACAGGTGCAGGGTCTGTGATGTGTGGTCTCGGGGGAGACAGTGGACATGTGACCCCAGGTGCAGGAGGGTGTCACCCTGGAGACTGTGAATGTGTTGCCCCAGGTACGTGTTCTGGGAGGTGGGGTGCTGGGAGCCGGCACACAAAATCCCACCCATGACAAGGTCACAAGGAGAAAGCCTGACAGGCAAGGCAGATCAGGTTTTCAGGGATTTCAAAAAGCTGCCCCCGGCGCTCACCTTAAAGATGATATCTGTCTTTCTGATGCCTGCCTCAATAGACTACTCCCTAATTTCTGTGACACAGGCAGAAGGCCTTCCCCGATCTCTTCCCAAATAAGAATCAATTTAGAACTTTAATCAATAAGTTTCCCAGGTGGTGGTATTTTATGAGATTATCCAGGGTGAAAGGAGTGTTTTAATTTAAACTCCTTTGCTGGTATTTTAGTTTGTTTGGCAAATGCTTTTATGCCCTTGGTACTAATATGCATGAATGCTTATAATACCCTAATCATAAAATAACATAAAGAACCTGATCACATAAAGGCCCTAACAGACATAGAGCTCTTCGGGGGGTGAGGAAGCCCTATTAGAAAACACAAGAAAAATTATTCTAAAGGTGGTTATTGGGTTGATGTTTGCTTGTTGTGTTTTGCTTGCTGTGTTTTTGCTTTTAATGTGCTAAGGCTGTGTTATAGAAACCATTGTTAATATAGTTAAAGACCTGGAGAAATAAGAACTTAGCCCTAGTGTGGTAACAATGAAATGGTTGTTAATTGTCAGCCAGGAGTGCTAGGCAGAAGCTGCCTCACCAAAGTCACAGAGTCAGTCTGGGGTAAACTTCTTAGATAAATGCAACTGACAACTTCTGCAGAAGGATTAATTTTTGTGTTAACAAGGTTATACTTCTACTCTGTACTGTTGCCCTGTGAGACTGCTACCTTTCAGTTAAGGTCACCATAGAAACAGAAAATAGGTTTACATTCACCTGACCTGCATATAATGTTAATAGGCCCCAAGACCAGAAGATAATGTACAAGACCCTCATAAACAAAGAAGTATGCAGAAAACACCCTGGTTTCGTGAAGAACAAGCTGATGTAATGTTAAACTATCTTCCCCTTAGAAATGTACTAATTTAGGGTATAAAAGCCACGGTAAAAAATAGAGCATTGCCAGACTCTGCCAGACCCTGCAAACACCCCCGTCTGGTCATACTCTCTCTCTCTCTCTCTCTCCCCCCCTCGCAGACTTGGCTCTATCAAGGCTGGTCTCATGTGTCTCCTCTCTCTCTCTTGCCAACGCCGTTCATCCTGAGGGTATCCCCTGGATCCTGCCGAGGCTGGACCCCGGCAGTGGAGTCCACCTTGTACACTATGGACATGTTACCCCAGGTGCAGCATCTGGGAGGGGGATCACCATGGAGACTGCGGCCATGTGATCCCACGTGTAGTGTCTGGGAGGGGAGGTTACCCTGGAGGCTGTGGACGTGTGATTCCAGGTGCTCAGACCAGTGTTGTAGGGTCACCCTGAAATCTCTGGACATGTGACCACAGGTTCAGCATCTGGGGGATGTCACCCTGGAGACAATGGATATGTATGTGATCAGATGTTCAGAGTCAGGGAATGGTGGTCACCCTGGAGACTGTGGAGGTGTGACCACAGGTAAAAGTTCTGATGAGGTGGGGTCAACCTAGAGATGGTGAACATGTGACCCAAGGTACAAGTTCTGGTGAGAAGGTATAGAGATTGTGGAAGTGTGACCCCACATGCAGGGTCTGGGAGTGAGGTTACCCTTGAAATTGGAAATGTGACAGCAGATACAGGGTCTTGGAGGGGAGTCACCAAGGAGATTCTGGACATGTGACCCAGATGCAGGTATTTCAAAGCGGTCACTCTGGAGCCTGTGGATGTGTGACCCAAGGTGCAGGGTCTGGGGAGAGGGGTCACCTTGCAGACAGTTGACATGTGACCACAGGTGCATGGTTTGGTGATGTGGGGTCACCCTGGAGACTGTGGAGTTTTGAAACCTGATACAGGGTTTGGGAGGTGGGGTCACACTGGAGACGGGACATTGACCCCATGTGCATGGTCTGGAAGGGGATCACCCTGGATATGGTGGACCTGTGACCTCAGGTACAAAGTCTGTGAAGGGTTTCACCCTGGAGACTGTGGCCTTGTGACGCCAGGTACAGGATCTGGGGTGGGGTGTCAGGAGTGTGTTGTCAAGGCTCTCTAAGTGCAGGGAAACACACAGCCTTGACTCTGGAAAATAGGTCTTCTGTGCAAACCTGGAGTCCTCACATGTAAGAATCTAGACAGCTACTAGGTGTGTGAAAAGCACTCTTTTTTTTGCCTTTCATTCCCTGGTGGCTCAGAGGATAAAGCGTCTGCCTGCAATGTGGGAGGCCCGGGTTCGATCCCTGGGTTGGGAAGATCCCCTGGAGAAGGAAATGGCAACCCACTCCAGTATTCTTGCCTGGAGAATCCCATGGACAGAGGAGCCTGGCAGGCTACAGTCCACGGGTCGCAAAGAGTTGGACACGACTGAGCGAGTTCACTTTCACTTTCAATCAAATGAACATAGGTTTCCCAGCATTCTGTTTGCTGAGAGTAACACATGGCTTGAAAATCCTTGCTTGGAGTTCAGTTTTAAGTAACAATTTCCCGTCCCCAGTGTTACATTAGGGAAGGCAAACACACTCACAGGGAAAAGCAAAGAAACATCAAAACATCTGTTCTATGAAATATTCTCTGTAGGAGGGATCCAGTGATCCTAGGTCTGTCTGGAAAATTCTTGGATACTTCAGGGACACATGATGAGTGTGAACCTGGATACTGGACCTTGTTGGCAGAATTAGCATTTTTCTCTCTGACCCTAAAACGGTGCACCTAGCTACTGCCTGAAAATCCATCCAATTGCTGTTCTCTTACTTGACATAACAATAGCTTTGTTGAAACCTTTGTGATTTCTGAAGAAAGCAGGTAGCTTGCAAATCCTTGCCATTGACGTATTTCCAATGGAATGTCAACTAATCTAGGTAACAACACTATGGCACTCAGCACTCTCAGACAGTGCTACAGCAAGTTTCCTCATGGACTGTCCCAGTATGACCTAGGACAGTGTTCACAAGGCTCACAAAGTGCAGGGAAACATATGGCCTTGACTCTGGAAATTAGTTCCTCTGTGCAAACCTGGAGTCCTCTCATCTTAGAATCTAGACAGCTGCTGATAGATAGGTGCATGAAAACATTCTCTTTTTTGCCTTTCATTAACCAAAGGAACATATGATTCCCAGAATTGTGTTTGCTGACCAAAACACACTGCTTGGAAATCCTTGCTTGGATGTCATTTTTAAGTAACAATTTCCCCTCACTTTTAAACAGTAGGGATGGCCCCCAAATCAAAGGGGAAAGAAAAATATCAAACCATCTGTTCCATGATGTTTTCTCTGTAGCAGGCATCCAGTGATCCTAAGTCCGTCTGGAAAATTCTTGGATACTGCAGGGACACATACTGAATGTGAACCTGGATACTGGACCTTGTTGGCTAAATCAGCATTCTCTCTCTCTTGGCCCTAAAACGGTGCAGCCGAGAAGCTGCCTGAAAATTCATCCAATTACTGTTTTCCTACTTATGATAGCCATGGCTTTGGTCAAACCTTTGGGATTTCTGAAGCTAGCAGGTGGCTTGCAAGTCCTTGTAACAAGATCATTTCCATTGGAATGTCAGCTAATCTAGGTAACAACAGTATTGTCCTCAACTCTTTCATACACACTCCTGCAGCCTGTTTCCTCATGGGCAGTGCCAGTATGACCTGGGAATGTGTTCACAAGGTTCAGAAAGTGCAGGGAAACATACTGCCTGTGAATCTGGAAATTAGGGCCTCTGTGCAAGTGTTGTTCTCATATCATAGAATCAAGACAGTTGCCAAAAGATAGATGCCTGAAAAATACTCTCTTTTTTGTCCTTTCGTTCATCAGAGGAACATAGATTTCACAGCACCTCTTTGCTGACCTAAACTCACTGCTTGGAAATCCTTGCCTGGAGGTCACTTTTAAATAACAATTTCCCCTCACCTGTTATATAGTAGGGAAGGCCCCCAAATTACAGGAAAAGAAAACAAATATCAAACTGTCTATTCCATGATGTTTTCTCTGTTTCCAGTGATCTCCGTTTCCAGTGACCCTAGGGCTGTCTGGAAAATTCTTGGATACTGCAGGGACACATACTGAGTGTAAACCTAGATACTGAACCATGTTGGCAAAGTTAGCATTTTCTCTCTGTTGGCAGCAACAGTATGGCCCTCAGCACTCTCAGACACTCTCTTGCAATCTGTTTCCTCGTGAGCAGTCCTAGTATCACCTAGAAATAGGTTCACAAGGCTCAAAAAGTGCAGGGAAATATACTCTCTGTGACTCAGGAAATTGGGGCCTCTGTGCAAATGTGGTGTTCTCATATCATAGAACATAGACAGTTGCTGATAGATGCCAGAAAAACACTCTTTTCTTCCCTTTTGTTCATCGCAGGAATGTATGTTTCCCAGCATTCTGTTTGCTGAGAGTAACCCACTGCTTGCAAATCCTTGCTAGGAGGTCATATTTTTAATATATATTTTAATTGAAGGATAATTGCTTTACAGAATTTTGTTATTTTCTATCATGCCTCGACATGAATCAGTCATAGGTATACATATATCCCCTCCCTTTTGAAATTCCCTCCCATCTGCAGTCCCATACCACCCCTCTAGACTGATACAGAGTCCCTGTTTGGGTTTCCTAAACCAAACAGCAAATTCCCATTGGCTATCTGTTGGGGTCCTTTAATGGACCAGAACCTGGTGGTATGGAGTCGACGATAAGAAAGTGAAAGAGAGAAAGAGGCTGATATCCCTTGGTTTACGCAGAGGACCAATGAAGTCATTGACACAGGACTTGCATCGCTCACGAAGGCACCAGGCGCCCTCTCGAGGGGGTCTTAGAAGCCCGGGCAGAAAAGTGAGCACGACGGGTCTCCACGCTCCAGAGAGTCAGCCAGAAAAAGAGAGAGAGAGAGAGAGAGAGAGAGAGAGACAAAAAAGACCCGGGGACCTAAGCTCTGATGAAGCAAAGGTGCTTTAATGATTTTCCTATGAGTATATATAGGCTGTGGTACAAGAAACTTCTTTCGGGAATGACAGAGATCAGAAAACCAAACGTACAGCAATCGTTACCATGGGAACAAGGGGTAATGTTAGTCACAAGGTCAGGAGACAATCCGTATCTCAAGAAAGGGGAACGAGACTAAGCATTTTGTCCTAAAGAGAATGTTTACTAAAGGAGACCCAAGCTTGCCTCACACAATGACCTCAGTCCCTGGGAGCAGCGCGCCGTTCCCCTTGAAGAGGGACAAAGGACTCATGAGAGACAGCATGTAGGAATCCTCCCATCAAACATTCCCTGACAGCTATCTATTTTACATACGATAATGTAAGTAGAGTTTTGCTAAGAGAATGCATTAGCCATAACAAATGCCCTCTTCCAACAACACAAGAGAAGACTCTACACATGGACATCACCAGGTGATCAACACTGAAATCAGATTGATTATATTCTTTGCAGCCAAAGATGGAGATGCTCTATACTGTCAGCAAAAACAAGTCTGGGAGCTGACTGTGGCTCAGATCATGAACTCCTTATTGCCAAATTCAGACTTAAATTGAAGAAAGTAGGGAAAACCACTAGACCATTCAGGTACGACCTAAATCAAATCCCTTACAATTATACAGTGGAAGTGAGAAATAGATTTAAGGGACTAGATCTGATAGACAGAATGCCTGATGAACTATGGCCAGAGGCTCGTGACACTGTACAGGAGACAGGGATCAAGACCATCCCCAAGAAAAGGAAATGCAAAAAAAGCAAAATGGTTGTCTGAGGCCTTACAAATAGCTGTGAAAAGAAGAGAAGTGAAAAGCAAAGGAGAAAAGGAAAGATTTGAATGCAGAGTTCCAAAAAATAGCAAGGAGAGATAAGAAAGACTTCATCGGTGATCAGTGCAAAGAAATAGAGGGGAACAATAGAATGGGAAAGACTAAAGCTCTCCAAGAAAATTAGAGATACCAAGGGAACATTTCATACAAAGATGGGCTCAATAAAGGACAGAAATGGTATGGACCTAACAGAAGCAGAAGATATTAAGAAGAGGTGGCAAAAATACACAGAAGAACTGTATAAAAAAGATCTTCATGACCCAGATAATTGCGATGGTGTGACCAGTCACCTAGAGCCAGACATCCTGGAATGTGAAGTCAAACGGGCCTTAAGAAACATCGCTACGAACAAAGCTAGTGGAGATGATGGAATTCCAGTTGAACTATTTCAAATCCTAAAAAATGATGCTGTAAAAGTGCTTCACTCAATACGCCAACAAATTTGGAAAACTCAGCAGTGGTCACAGGACTGGAAAAGGTCAGTTTTCATTCCAATCCCAAAGAAAGACAATGGCAAAGAATGCTCAAATTACTGCACAATTGCACTCATCTCACAGGCTAGCAAAGTAATGCTCAAAATTCTCCAAGCCAAGCTTCAACAATATGTGAACTGTGAACTTCCACATGTTTAAGATGGATTTAGAAAAGGCTGAGGAACCTGAGATCAAATTGTCAACATCCACTGGATCAAGGAAAAAGCAAGAAAGTTCCAGAAAAACATCTATTTCTGCTTTATTGACTATGCCAGAGCCTTTGACTGTGTGGATTACAATAAACTGTGGGAAATTCCGAAAGAGATGGGAATGCCAGACCACCTGACCTGCCTCTTGAGAAACCTATATGCAGGTCAGGAAGCAACAGTAAGAACTGGACATGGAACAACAGACTCTTCCAAATAGAAAAAGGAGTACGTCAAGGCTGTATATTGTGACCCTGCTTATTTAACTTATATGCAGAGGACATCATGAGAAACTCTGGACTGGAAGATGCACAAGCTGGAATCAAGGTTGCTGGGAGAAATATCAATAACCTCAGATATGCAGATGACACCACCCTTATGGCAGAAAGTGAAGAGGAACTAAAAAGCCTCTTGATGAAAGTGAAAGAGGAGAGTGAAAAAGTTGGCTTAAAGCTCAGAAAACTAAGATCATAGCATCCAGTCCCATCACTTCATGGGAAATAGACAGGGAAACAGTAGAAACAGTGTGAGACTTTATTTTTGGGGGGCTCCAAAATCACTGCAGATGTTGATTTCAGCCATGAAATTAAAAGATGCTTACTCCTTGGAAGGAAAGTTATGACCAACCTAGATAGCATATTAAAAAGCAGAGACATTACTTTGCCAACAAAGGTCTGTCTAGTCAAGGCTATGGTTTTTCCAGTGGTCATGTATGGATGTGAGAGTTGGACTGTGAAGAAAGCTAAGCACTGAAAAATTGATGCTTTTTAACTGTGGTGTTGGAGAAGACTCTTGAGAGTCCCTTGGACTGTAAGGAGATCCAACCAGTCCATCCTAAAGGAGATCAGTCCTGGGTGTTCATTGGAAGGACTGATGCTGAAGCTAAAACTCCAGTACTTTGGCCACCTCATGTGAAGAGCTGACTCATTGGAAAAGACCCTGATGCTGGGAGGGATTGCTGGCAGGAGGAGAAGGGGATGACAGAGGATGAGATGGCTGGATGGCATCACTGACTCGATGGGCATGAGTTTGAGTGAACTTTGGGAGTTGGTGATGGACAGGGAGGCCTGGCATGCTGTGATTCATGGGGTTGCAAAGAGTCAGACACAATTGAGTGACTGAAATGAACTGAACTGAATCTTGTTATCCTAAAACATAAATTGTGGGAGTAGGTCTGGTAAAATTTTCACAAACTTGAGACGTTCTTTTGATTCATTTTAATAACTAATTAAAAGGTATATAACTCCATTGCTAACACTAGCAAGGGGGTACTCTTTCTGCCCCCTTCTGATGTCTATGTCAGAAGCTTTTATACCTTAATAAAACTCTATTGCACAAAAGCCCTGAGCGATCAAGACTTGTCTCTGGCCCCAGATTGAATTCTCTGCCAGAGGCCAAGAATCCCGGTGTCTTTTTGTGGGCCAGCAACAACCTTTCAACTGTAAGCTATCAGTTTTTCCGAGTTAGTGGGGTGCCACCTCCTTTTTACATTTTTTTGGTCCTTCATGTTGGGTCATGGCCCATGGTTGGTGTGTCACTTAATAGAATGATTGACTTGGCAGTGAGCAGTAACATGAAGAGCAATTCCCTTCCCAGGAATTGAACCTGGGACGCCTGGATGCGAACCAGGAATCCTAGCCACCAGACCAGCAAGGGCTAGAGACTAGAAGTTATTTTTCCCTGGATCTTTGCCCCCAGTGAAAAATGGTTTTACCATGGAGACAAAAACTGTAAATTCAGGTATAAAATTTATTATTAGAGACACAGCATAACAAGTGGGAAAGCACATAGAAAAATGGTTTGTTAAGATAAAAAAAAAAAGATAAAAGCAAGGCAGAGAAAGGGTGTGGGTGTCCCCCCTTCCAAGTGAGGGGGAGCACAGTCAAGAGGCAGTTAAGTCATTTATAGCAGTCATTTAGGGCAGTTCTTCTGGGTCTTTGTCTTCCTTCAGCCCAATTATCTGGTTGCCTTTCCCACACATGACTGACCCTGGCACACTCCACTGGATTCAAACTTACCCCTCAGCCAAGATGGATCTTGAAGTGAAGGCTTCTGGGAGGAGCAAGACTCATTATGGCCTGGCATTATCTCTTGAGTTCTGACCCACAAGAAGCCTTTCTGTGCATGTTTAGTGTCTCCTTTGTCCCAAAAGTCTGGGGCAGAGATCCCTTAATCCTTTACTCATAGAGGCTTTTGCCTTCTCTTTGTCCTTGCCATGACTATTACCTTAAGGTGTTTACAAGAGATGAACACTGGCTATTTACTCTCTGTTGTTACTTTTATTTCAGAGGACAAACAGGAGGCTAACTAAATACCTAGACTGAAGGACCTACCTCTTCTCTCAGAAATGCTAACAGTTGTAAGCATCCAGCCTGAAGCCCACTTCTTTGTGTCCCATGAAATGCAAACAGGAGACCAGTTATAAATGTCTAATCTGGAGTCCACCTATCTGCTACATCAATAATACACTAAAATAAACACACAATGAGACTCAGGGTCTGTTGGAAGTCAGATTCGTTGCCATTGTCATCCCAGATGGTTCCATATGGTTTTGTTTGTAGCTTTCTCTCTTCTCTCTAGACCCTTTACCTTAAAGAGTTTTGTTACATCCTTCTAAAGGTGTGAACAAGATTAAAGGGTTGTGAACAAGGACACCCCTATAAAGGAGGTTTTAGATGCTCCTACAGTATCCCCTGATCCTTTCCTAAGAATACTGAGTGGAAGGGGCTTCCCTTCAGCCTATGCTGTTTCAATGTGTCCAAAGTGGTTTGTGAAGTTTTATGCTGGAGATTTCTCACTGGATGATGCGCCACACTTAGGTAGACCTGTTGAAGTGGACCATGATCAAATAGAGACATTAACTGAGAACAATCAACTTTATACCACGCAGGAGATAAAT